TGAGCAGTGGTGTTAAGAGAGGAAAGCAAATGCGAAAGCATGGAATACATAAATAAAATGTCAGATTAAGACTTAATGTGACAAGTCGACAAACAGATGGAGACAGAAATTAATATAAGACCATAAATAAAAAGGTTAGAGATGAGGAAGGACTCAGAATTTGTTTACATGCACATAATGATAAGAGATCCAAAAACAAATCGTTTAATACAAGTGTTTGCATGTGCAACAGAAAGATGCTTGTCTTCAGTAACAATGTGTTTATTTCAGATGCGTTTTTATAATTCTGTTGCTCGTGTGCGCATTTCTCAGAAATAATGCAATGCTTGGAGTTGATGGGCATTAAAACCAGATTCAAACACAAACAATCACTGTAATCAAACAAAACCAAAAGCACACTGGGCGTGTGCTGCTATGCTTGGACTATGGTCAATGCATGCCCACACAATCTTTCAGAAAAATACTAGAACTGTGTAACTACAGTAATTTTGTGTTCTGATCACCGCATGAATTCACTGATTATGGCTTTAACCACAGTTATTGTGCAGCAAATGCAAGCACATTCTGGGAAATGCTGGAAAAAACTGGAATATCAGCGTGAATGTAAACACAGGAGAAGACCTTCACTTAACCAGCATCAGATACACAGATGATTGAGCAACTGATGGACTCAATAAGCAATTGTCCAAGTGGATGATTGAGTAAATGATCTTAATGGGGTAATCAATAAATGACAATGACAGCTTTCAGCGCTGTTTATCCAATTCCACAAATACCTCTCAGATGGTTGTCTTCTGCTCTAAAAAGGACACTCAAAGACACTGGGTCAATACAAATCTACAAATGATGATGAATTTAGACACTCACTGACAAGCATATGCATACAAAACGCATTGTAATGCATCATGTAAAACGGGAAATGTTAACAGGGGCTTGAAAGACAAAATGAAATAGACAACAAGGTACCAGGACAATATTGAAGCACACAAGGTTTTGATTTCAGGGCCAGAATTTTAGTTTAAAACATCAAAAACTTTACAACTGCCCATGCAATAGTGACAGCTCTTAGAGGGCTACGCCTATACTCATATAATCTGGAGTTATGAACTAACGGTGGTCTCCTGGCCGCAGGCAGGACGAGACAAAGGTGCGGATTACTTTCTTGTTTCTGCCACTTTGAATTTAATCCACTAAAGAAATCAAGGCATGCATGGAGCGTACAATCCCTGGTTGGTGTCACATTAAATCACAGATGTTTAACGTAAACATCATGTGGCCTCACGTAAACATCATATCGTAAACATCATGTGGCCTCACGTAAACATCATATCGTAAACATCATGTGGCCTCACGTAAACATCATATCGTAAACATCATGTAGCCTCACGTAAACATCATATCGTAAACATCATGTGGCCATCATGTGGCCTAAGCCACACGAGACCGTTATAAGATAGCTAAGGTGTTTTGACCAGCTCACAAGAGTTTCAGCAGATTGGTTGAATTTGTGGTTTGAATATGTGGCTACATCTTATACAATCCAGCTTTAAAAAGTAATCATTTATTCTGTGTTTATTCATTAGGAATAACATTATTCCATTATGTTAACGATGGATGCTCAAACGGTCACGGACTGACATCCTTTAATGAAAAGCAAGACAAAGGGGTTCTTTCAGCACAGAGCCGGACAAATGGGAGACAGACTGCACTGGCAACAAACTAGAATTGCAAATGAATGATGGCAAGAATCAAAAGATAATATTTTTGAGGGGAAAACACTCCAGAGTCTACTTTGCTCTGTTTTCTCTTCTATTCTGAGAGTAAAAAAACAACTGCATGAGAAAGTCAGTGATTGGATCAAATGGTAGTGTCTCTCCTTTTAGTCTGTCTGCTTGTTCCTGGTAATGAAATCAATGGAGCAAAAGAGAGCTATGTGAAGTGAATGCAAAGCAGAGACGTCAGCTGTCCTGTATCTACCTAAATATCATGGATTGCAACAGTGTTTTTTACTTCCACCTGAGAAGGAATTACAAAGAAACGACTGCAGCTTTTACAGAATTTAACATTAACAATTGGAATCTACTGTGCAATCTCTCCACCATTGCATATTTCCCCACCACTCACACTCTGCACTCGCGTCCTATTTAAATATCTGGAATATTTGTCATGACCAGAGTGCAATCAGGGGGAAAATTATAGCCACATCGCAATTCAAAATTGGCAGATAGTGTTTTGCTGCTAGAGAATCATCATTAGTAACACTCAGCAGTCAACGCATGTCTCTCACAAATAGTGTTGTGAAAACCTCACTGATACCCTGTTCATCTTAAGAGCAGCCCTGAACTTCAATTTAAGTGGAATGTTATCAGAGATAAGAAATAAATCTAAGAAAAAAAAAACGTTTTCTCTGCATCAAAGGATTATCAGAACTCAACATCCGTTTCCTTTGAGTATTGAATTGAAGATGATAGTTTAGTTATTCAAGGACATTAAACTATCAATTCATCAGGGGGAAAAACCTTGATGGTAATTGAGTTATCCCTGCAAAATTTGGTTTGAGACAAGATGAGTGATTTAAAAAGCACACTATAAATGCACAGTCGGAATATCAAAAAGCTTTGCTGACAGGGAAACACAGCGCATGTAGTCGACCAACTTTAACTTGGGTGATGTTTAGGAGGACATTTAGCTGGAGTTGTTTGTACCAGTTTCTTGAAGAAAATAAACCTTTATTGAAATCAGCATACAGTTATTTAACAGACCATGCAGTATTTCAGAAAAAGATGAAACACACCATTCACTGCAATGTCAATCATACACTGTAACAAACGCCATTTAATTCAACTTAAAAACCTGAACGGCCAGGCTGCCTTGTAAGTTCAATTGACTAAACAGTTGGTTCGCTCCTCCGATCGCTAGTTCATATGTAAAACTGACATAACTTAAGATAATAACTTTGATAAACTTAAAAGGAGAAGGATTTTGAAAGTCTATATTTTCTTATCGTCAAAATATCCCATTAAAAGACCAAAACCAGCACTGTGTTGGTACGTCTCTCAATACTCTCAGACTTACAGTGTATGTGGATCTCAGCTCCAAGCTGATTGGTTCCTACTGAAGACGTACACTAAATATTTAATGTAGGTCACAAATATATAGTTTAAAAGCCATAGACTGTATTTAAGAAGTGGACACAGCGATGGCACGCATTGGTTTGTGGACTATGATTTTGAAACCTTGACTCTGGCAAAGCCTGCTTTATATTTTATTCTAAATGGGACAATAATTTACTAAATGAACATCATGCTCTATTGAAGAAAACCTAATAAATCAAGTGAGAAGTAGGGTCCTTTTCTCATAGACTTCTATACAACCAGACGTATTTTTGCAACCAGAGGAATCGCCCCCTGCTGGTCAGTAGACAGAATGCAGGTTTTAGGCACTTCTGTATTGGCACTTTTCAGAATCAGAGGTTGCCGCCTGTTAAAAAAACTAAAGTTTATAAGCTTAAGCTGTTGAAAGAGAATTAAATAGAGGGAATTTTGTTCGGGACTATTTTCAGCAGTGGATGAATACATGTGGGTGGTGTTTGTGCTTAATTAAATGAACGTTCCTGACCATCTTTACTGCTATTTCCGCATCACCTTACATTCTCTTGAACAATAGGACAATCAAGGCAAATTTATATTGTCCACCATAATAACATCTCCTGCAACCCCCCTGTGGATCCCGACTCAGTTTTTGGGAATGACTGTAGTGAGTATTCATGGCAGCAGGACGGTGATAGCTTTTGGACAACAATGAGAGGAACACAAACAAAACTGTGCTTGGTCAGTTTTATTTGTCTTTTCATGATATACAGTATGTTGACAATAGAGAAAAAAAAACAGTCTTGGACTCGTGGTTGTAACTGAAATGGTTTTAAATGTTTGATTTAGAAATTCTAAGTTGATTTGACTATAAACTGACAAATGTATCTAATTACACCGACTGGCTAATGAAAGATGAGCGGATGTCATTAAACTGATCTAGAGATTTTACAGTGTATTCTGGGGTGCAAGGTGTTGATTCCAAAGGGCTGTAACCAGGTTAACACCCACGTTATTGTCATTAGTTTCTGCACACTATCTTCTTGGAAGTTGCACTTTCCCGTCTACAACAATAGCAGGTGTTTGTTTTAACAGGAAACATGACACTTCTTGCCTACGTGATGCAGGTTTGATAGTTTGATGTACGTTGACTGTACGATGCTGCTACAGCAAGCTGGAAGGATGTTTTTTTTCACAACACGCACGCGTTTGCACATTGTCCAAAAGTCTAAAAGAGTTTTATTTTCTTTAACTCAAAGCTGAGTCTCAGGCCATAGCAAAAAAAAACACTCAAGCATCTGTGCCACTGAGGGAGGCTCACCACAGTTAGCAGAGGCATCTGATACAACCTGACAAATACTTCACAGTCAACAGTTAACACTCACGGGGCCATGAGATACTGTAGAGCATCTCACTGCAATTTATCGGCGTGCGGTTGCCATGCAAACACAGGAGTAATTACGAGGGATTAGAGGAGGTGGATTGGGAGGTGAGGCGGAAGGGCAGAGCAGGCGATGAGTGTTGGGGTCAGAACATGAAATAGTCCAAAGAGAGAGAGAGAGAGAGAGAGAGAGAGAGAGAGAGAGAGAGAAAGGATGTCGACTGGCCCAGGTTTAGATAGAAGGTGAGTGCTGATATAAATGATGACATGAGCTTAGTCAAAGCACCCACTGGGTTTACTGGTCAGCAACACCAGACAAGCAGCTACGTGAGAGATCCTCAGTGGCATTCAGGAAGCATCACAGCACTGCATTTCATTTGCAAATCAATTTCTCAAAACACCGCCGAGCATAATGGCACAGAGAGCACGCCCTTTCACCAGTAATTACCACTGGCCCGCGGGGCGGCGGCTGTGGGTGACCCCTTCATGGAGAAGCTCCTTTGAAACCCGCCCGTGGCATCGCTACTCACCGGCTTATCAGTGAAGGGGGTCGACTCGGAGGGCGCCATGTCGTAATAAGGAGGCTGAAGAGGAAGCTTCTGCATTTCCTCGTCCTTGTCGAGATGAACAACCTATGGGAAACACCGAGAGCTCAGCAAGACTCACAACGAGGTCCCACAAAGCAGGCGGGTCAACCAGTTAATGCTGGGCCTGCTCCACAATCCTCAGCCAGGTTGGACTTGCTACAGGGAGGGGAAGTCCTGCCCTGTCCGTCTGAACGGTTCCATGAATTACACATGTGATGTTTGTCAATTTAAAAGATGATTTTGCACATCAACAAAGTCACAGTTTGGCATAGCACCATTTAGTTTTGTGTGGAACAACAACAAGGCCGTTACCTTGGCGTGGTAGCTGGCTAGGTAACAGTAATATCTATGCACATAAATAACTTTACTTTGCCTGATGTGTTTTAAACAGCGACTCTTTTTGTCAGCCGGGAAGCAAAAGAATGAGCAAGGCCCCCCCTTGTTGGTGTGTACATCCTGGTATGAAACATGCAGGCATCGTCGCTTAGTAGGACTTTTGGGTGTGAAAAATCATCTTTTAAAATGACAAACATCAGATGTGTAATTATTGGCAAATTCAAACGGGATCAAATAATGATTTGTCTCTCAACATTGACTACCCTACATATTTATTCCCAAATAAGGTCCCATGGTGGAAGAGGCGGGACTTTGCCTCTCTATTAGCCCATCGCTGAAAACAACCACCTTTGCTGCACACACTTTACTTCAGAGCCACAACACTCCAGCAGCAGAATATTATGTTCAAAGTTTTTTATTTCATTTGCTTGCATTTTTTTTCCCACCGGTAATGAACAGAAACGAGACGGGAAATCTGACAAGGAACACAAGTTGACAGCAGTTTGAACTTAAGTCGCTCCTCTGAACTCTACATGAGCATCAAAAGTTATTTTTGCCAAATTAATCGCTTCGATATCACACAAAAGGTATGATGCAAACTTCTGAAATAGTGGGGCAGAAATGTGAGGCTGCAGGAGCTGGCTGTGCTGCACCGCCGCTCAGGGAAAGAACCGCAGGGAATTGAATCCACACATGAAGGTGACATGCGATCACAAAACGGATTCGCTGCAGATTCATTACAGCTTGGCAAACAAAGGTTGTTAATATATGGACAAAGCTCCTTGAAACCACCTTTTCGCATTAGTATGTGTTAATATATGTGAAATAATATCTTGCTTTCTTTTTTACAGGGAAACCAAAATATGAAAATGTGAACTGTTTCTTTAACTGCAATCACAAACTGGACGGTCTTGATGTGAAACCCCAGTTTACTTTGCAGGTTTCCTTTAAAGGTTTGATGCCTCTGAACTAAAATGTTGGAATTGGGATTCATCCACCAGCAAAGACGCCTTTGAATGGAGCTTTTCTGCAACTGTGCCTTGGCTTTGTCATATTCCAGAGGAATATCTGCACAGTGTTTGAGGATTTTAAAACTGGACTGCAGATAATTTTACATTTAAAAAGACTCTTTCATCCGTCAAATGTGCGTTGTGTGCTCTCTGTACAAAACTAAGCGATGTGCTTATGAAAGATACATAGGCTCCCATTTCACTCAAAATGCTTTCAAATTGTGGGACATTACGGAAGACAGGAGGTCTAAACGTTTCTTGTGACTTCAAAGCAAAAATGACACCCAAAGTCAACTTTATACTACATCAGATTTGCAGAGGATAATTTTTAAAGATGGTAATATTATACATGATAAGATCATGTTGATATATTATGGACTATTTGAATTTCATAATGAAGGGGTCATTGCATATTGTTGTCAATAAATGTCTATTCATCTAGCAGCTAAAGACACTATTTCTACATTAGTATTAGAAGAGAGCAGAGCTGTATATACTGTGTACATCTACTGTGAAGCATAGAAACCATATATAAGGTTCTCGCTCTGAAAATCAAGGTGCATCTGTGAGGTTTTCTGACACATAATGGAAGCAACGCATGAAGTGGGGGGGGGGGGGGCAAAGTGCTCCTCTATAGTTTTCCTTCAACAGGTCGTCGGCTTAAAAATTTCCGCACAGCGTGCTTCTAATTGATCCGTCATAATCACAATACACAATGCAAAGCTGACAGGAAGGTGCCTTAAAAGAACAACAGGTACTAGAGACCTTTCACGCCATGATGGAATTTATTAATTTTTAAGTGGCAACACTAAAAAAAAACCTTCATTAAACATTTGTCAGCGCTGCGGCAGTGAACAATCGAAGGAAATGAAAGTGAATGAGACAAATCAAAGTTTTCCAGAACAATGAAGTTATCAACGCGATGAATGTGAGATTCATATAATAGGTGTTGAACAATGCGTTTCTCCTCCACACCTCTGCGCTGTGGAACTTGACGGATCAAAAGGCTGCCTCATGCTGTTTGATCCCCACTTTTCCAACATTCAGAAATAGCAAGAATTTCAGTCAATACGCACCAGGTCAAGCTTTTCCATTAATATCACTGTACATCAAACAGCAAAGGATTTAATGGCTGAGTGGTCGAACGGGGAGCCGAGCGCCAGAACTCATATGCAATTAGCCGGGGGTAAAAGTTTCGAGGCATAAAGACATCGGCCTCCTGGATGCCTGTTGTCTGCTTGGCTCTCGGAGTCCACCTCGCAGCAACGCACAGCGAGTGTTGTGATGGAGCGAGCGCAGATGTTGATACTTTGGCTGCGCCGCCAGTTCTCTGCTCTGTGCATTGGGCAATGATAAAACCACAATGCTGCCAATTTCTCCAGGCCAGCCTGGTCACCTAGCAACCCATCCTGAAATAAAGCTGTGATATCCAACTTTTGTCAGAGTCCAATTTCAAGAATAGGATATACTGCATTACCCATTACCTGTCTGTGTCTGCAAGGCCCTTTATTGGTAATCCAAACTCCCCCCCCCCCCCCCCCCTAAAAAAAGGTTTTCATTGCTGTCCGGGGTGTTTTGGACTGAGGGCTGAGCAATAACACTCATATCAGAGTACAGAAAGGGAAGAATATTGAGTCTTTTTTTGGTAAATTGAATAAGTTTATAAATCAGGTATAGCTATTCCTTTATCTTAAACAACTAAGTTATTTCTTATACCCACATTATGATAATGATTTCTTATGAAAGATACAGCTACTCTCTTGCATGATGGATCAAAGCCGGTCTGGTATAGCAGCTCAAGGACATCGCAGACAATAAATACAACAGTGCTATTATACCAAATTACCCGGCGGCTCTACGGTTGCTGATTATCTCAGTGCTTTTTTAAAAGAAGCAGCTCACCGAGATGATTGACAGGTTTCGGGGCAGGAACTCGTCCAGCTGAAGGGACGAAGGCGAAGGCAATTTCTGGTCTATGATTTAAGGACGTCGCTCAGCTTTTCCCCTCAACAACATTGTATTTTTGGCTCGTTTTGAAACTGTTCCGTCATTGAAACAGGTGTCGAATGAATGTTGAAGGTGCAGCCGTTGCTGTGACACGACCTGCTGTGCAGAATGAGCCACATACAGTGAGAAACCTGAAATACTGAGCCTCGGTTCATATTTTGTTCTGCACATGCCCGCTTGTATAACGGTGATGCTTATTGTGAATGCATCAGTGATCATTGTGCATTCATGCGCGCGGTACCCATCGTGTCGTGAACCTGCTGTTATACCTCTTTCTTTTTGCTTACTTTTATTTTTGCGGATGCAAGCTTGCTGAGCGTACAGCTTCCTTTAAAGCAACTACAGCCATAAAATTTAACACATTAAATCCTGTAAAGTGTCTATTACAGCCTCATCTGTCCACTAATCACCAAGTATTCCTCTGCAGTAGCTGTGCAGGGAGGTGAGCACGTTACTTTCCCCTCTCTTCATTACCTTGTCTGCCCAGATGTCCAGGTGTTTGACCTTGGAGCTATAAAGAGTCTCATAAAGTTGGATATAAAAGTTCGGCAGTCCTGATACACGGTGGTCAACGCGGCCGTAATAACTCTTCTTTTCCCCTTTATCTCCCCAATTTGGAATCGTCAATTATGTTGTACCACCGTCTTTGGCTAAAGGTCTGAGAAAGATCACTACGGCCTCTTCGGACCCATGCGTGATGTTCTCGTGTCATGTTTGTTTGTGATATGGACAAAACTACAGCAAGCCAGCTGGGAAGTTGGTACCAAACCTATAAAATAATTTATATGGTATTGATTCTGCGCTATTTAAATAGCCTGATGCAATATATAAAGATTGTGTTTTCATGCAAGCTTGACAAAAGAATATGGTTCCATAAAAACAGTTGATCACACAGACCTGGAGTCTGAGTTGGTACGACCATCGAAGTGATGTTCCAAATTTTCGAGAGAAGGGCTTGGTAATATGTTTTTGACCCAATTCAAGAGGCGTGCATCAGCTTAAGCTGCACTTCAGTCACTGTGGTGGCGCACGCAGGTAGACGGGTGCAAAAGCAATGCTCCTACTTTAAACTCAGAATAGCCAGAAAAGCATGCTGGCTTGCATTCTGCAAAAATGCGACCGGATGCAGTAGCACATCCTGGTATTTTTGACATACTGCATTTGACACACTATGTATTGGGAGATAATACAACTCTTTTATGACAAAAATAAATAGTATGGTAGTATGAACTGAGTCCCATGCTACGTATTAATTGTGTAGATTATACAAATGTAATATTTATTAGCATTCCTTTTTGCAGTTTGGAAGAAATCAACACACTTTAGTGTTTAACACTAACAGGAAATGATTTACTACACCCGCCATGCAAAGGCAATCAAACTGTGACTTTACAATGATTTAATTTAAATTATTCTAAATATTCATAGGTGTTCCCAGAGTTGTTTCAACACCTTCCACAAATAATTAGAATGTTTACAAGCAGTGAGCACACTCCTAAATATCAGTATTTTTAGTACAGATGGTGTCTGCTTCAGGTAAACTCATTTCTGTCACTATTCAGCTGTGAACACACTACAAACCAGAATGAATGTGTAGTATCAGGACTTTTGGACAAGGCGACAGTGATGCTTGCTTCATGTAACCCTCCAGGACGGAACTCTAGCAATTGCTTTATTATCTGCGTGTCTGTGCATCAAAGCACTGCAGAGGATTGAACACGGGTCTCTGCAGTGGTGGAGTGTTTTGCCTCGGATCAGTGTTCTGAGAAAACAGTTAATATGAGTAGATTCTCCTCACTAATCCACCCGATGTTGACATTTCAGTTTGTCTCTGACTAATAATAAAATTGCTCATTCATATCCAATATACATATCTCGGAGATTAAAAATAAAAACTAAACAAACACTGCGGTGAAATGAAGCTGTTTATCAGACTTGAGTGGTACTTAATGAGCTATACCACTCATCTAATAAGGGCCAAATACAATAGAATGAAATAACAATATATAGCGTGAAGTGATCATGTCTCATATCAGACATATGCTGCATATACTCAATAGGAACCACAGGGGCCGACTGAAATAATGTCACCTGCACACGTTCAATGCAGAACAAAGGTCAGTATTTATGTGTCAAAGATGACCCACTTACCATTACTCTAGTTATCAACAGGGAAATTAATTACTGTTAGTTTGGAAATTAGATTACATGTAACTGGCTTCACTCAGAGAAGGGGGCCTTCTCATATTTAGATATTGGAGCACTCTTAGCTAATTTAACTGCAACCGGATTGTCGAAGGAATTCTGTGACAAGCGCCAGCTTTGTGAGATGAGAAATAGTTTACAACATATGAAAAAAAGCATTTCCCTGGATTCCCCAAAATACCTTTCGAACACCAATCATGACGTGATATAGAGTAAAACTCTGCTATAAATATTATGACAAAAAAGTTATGAACATAATTGTGCATGTTTTAACTTGGTCTTTGTGCACTTATTAATATATATTTATTTTTTAATTGGCAACGTTTCACTCAAAAAAATGTGGCTGAGATTTGAGAGAGAAAAAAGTTCTCAAACTTTGTGTCAGATCAGCCAGAGAGAACACAAGTAAGAGGAGAGGGGGAGGAAGAGGAGGAGGAAGTCTTACCTGGATGTCATCGGATGTCAAGTGTCCCTTCATGTCGCTGTTCTTCTTTTTGGGCGGAGGCGGGGCTGGCTTGTGGGCGGGTGGGAGGTCGGTCCTGTTGAAAGAGCGAAAAGATAACATGACACTCAGCACATTCGGGGATCGCCACTCCTTCCGTCCCTCACCGTCCACAGCACTCTATAATGAGAAGTCCTGCCTGCACTTGCCTTTTTCCACTCTCTCCTCGGATTTTGATAGATCTCGTGTTGGCGGCTTTGTTGCGGCGGCAGCAGCCTTTCCCCCCTGCCCTTTCAAAGGCTCTCGCTGGAGAGACACTGTGCTAATGAGAGTGGGCTGTAATTGGACACTGAGGTGAGGAGATGGGGATGGAGGGAGTATAGGGGGGCAGGGAGAAGGGCATGTGAGAGTCAAGTCCTCAGGGTGGATCGAGCCTCATCTACGGCGCCGCTCGGACAAACACCCTGCCCGCTGTGCAGAGACTGTTTGTTTGACACGTCGTCCCCCGTTGCTGCAACTCAGCGAGCTCAGCAGGCGGCTCCTGCTCCCCACCTTCCCCTGGATCCCTGGCACTGATGCCCCCCCCCCCCCGAGGCACTCACCCCACCCTTTCTGCTGACACACCTGGGGAAGAACAAAGCCTCGACAACTGAACACCTGAACTCGTTTACATGCAGCCATTAACAGGGCAGTTAACAACTCTTTTCCTTCAAATCGACAATGAAGTTCCCACCAGAGACAGAAGTCACCCCGACACTTGATAATGAAAAGGAAAACTTAATCGTGAGCAGGACGGACAGCTATAATTGAAACGCTTGATGTTGAAAACTGTTTGAAGTGCATCCCGATAATTATTTCAGACAAGGAAGCGGAGGGGTTGTTGCTATGGATATTGCTACAAAGAGAAACCCCCTCCCTCAAACACGCTGGCAGTCAGATGTCATCTGTCCCACTCTGACACGATATCAGGGGTGATCAAAGATAATGAAGTGGAGCACAGACACTGAGCTGTGTACCTGCACGCATTATCTCCGGCTCCTCCCGCCTCCCATTCGCACTGGTTCACGTCCTTATTGAATAACATGACCTTTCCGCAAGGCCAAGCTGGCGTTTTAATGTGCAGAAAATTTGTGCATGAGTGCACCCCTTAACTCTTTCTTTCACGCTCATTATTTCCAGTCCGTATCACCTTGTCTCCAGACAGGGCTGCCGTGCCACTGCCAGATTCATGTGGCACCCTCTTCAGCCCCGGCACCCCCCCTCCTTGTCTACAGAAGCCTCTTCCTTCGCCGAGCCTTTCCTGAGGAGAGAGGCATCCATTTTTCCCTGAGACAGATAATTACGAGTCTTGTGGAACAGCGGCGTGCTCATTATAAAGTATTGTAATCCGTTGCTTGTGACTGACTGGATTCTGATACAGGTGAGAGCGATAAAGAAAAAAAAAAAGCTGTGACAGCCGACAAGACCATCTGCTTTCAAGAAATGTACGAAGGGAAATGCAATTGTCAACCTCTGCCTGCCCTGTGTGTACTCTGAGTCACCGAATCGTGAAATTTCTTCAATCAGCTGAAACAAAAAGCCGATGTGTAGGCCTACCTCGTGCACCGACCTAATTGCCATTTTATCAAAAAAGAAATGCGGTATTATCCGAGATTTCATACAGTGTTTTAAGACGAATCAGTTGCACATCTTCATGCTGGAATTACTCATCGTGCCGTGTTTATGTCAGGTGCAGCATTTGCATTCAGATCCCGCGGCATTTTTCAACTTCCATTTGATCCCGTGGGACTCCCCCCCCCACTGTTGATTGCATGTCATTGCACATTATGCGACGGAGCCTGTTCAAATAGGCGGTTTGTTTGGGGTCCCGTATGCAGAGTGGCTTTATTAAACCTGACCAAACATGAAGGAACTCCCTCGTCTCATGACGGCCACCCAGCAACAGCCACTTCCTCCCGGTCATACCTCCCTTTCTTGATTCAATTGGGCTACATTCGGAATCTGGTTACGCACAAACAGCGGCCTCGGGAGATCGTCAGTGTACATACCGTCACTTGACACACTGGCACCAAAACAGAGCGAAAAGCGCCATCGGTGTTTAATGAAGTGGCGTCTGTGCCGAGCGCACAAACATACAGTACGGCCAAGCCCTGCCAAGACAAACACACTATGTGTGCGTTCAGCTACTCAAGCTGTGTTCCGATTCCTCCAATATTACAGACTACTCATCTTTATAAGACACTGTTTCTGATAGCATGAAGGACATTAATGTATTTTCCTGTCCGTCACTGGCAGGAAGTAACAAGAGAAGAACAACGATTGAAAAAAAGGGAACCCTAAATGCTTAAAGATTGAATACTTGGTGTTTTGTTTTCGGAGATGATCCTGTAACTGGATCCACAAATTGTGTTAATTTATTTCTTTCATTTAAATATGACATGCTGACATCTTTGAGTGTATCAAAAGAATAATTGTAGTTTATTCCAACTAACTAACTCTGATTTTCTTTTTTTTTAGCAGCTCAGTTTTGATACTGATGACCTCATCAATGTAACTGCTGAGATCTGCTAACAAAGTAGCGTCACTACAAGTACAATGTGTCAGGTGACCAGACTTCAATTTAACGATTCAGCCGGATTATCAAAACCCCTTTATTAGGAGGTCGTGCTGGAAGTGGAATCACCCATAATATTGCAATATCTGAATGTGAGCCAGGAAGTTGGTCTATTAACTGTGATCAATGTGTACAACGGACAGCTCCTCTTCTTTTTTCAAACCTTGTGTGATTGTCTGTCTGCTTGTGTTTCTTGCCCCATCTTATTTTTCAGTTATGTCACCACATTGTCAGATCTCAGCAGAAAACTATGTGAGAATTCTAACAGATAAGGATGGATAAAACTATGAAAAACGGACCGAAGGCAGTTCGTCTCAGAGATTTAATATTGGATTTGTTGTCTGTCAAGATGTACCTAAAACTATCTGAACATTGTCCTAATTCTTTCTTTTTTTTACAACTGTGAGAAGCTCCTGCATTTCCTGTGCAGTGCATTGTGGGAAAAGAAATCTCCATTGACAGAGTACTAAACAATTCCGTAGTACGCATATACACATACACTGTACATCAGTGGTGGGCCGTCTAAACAGAATCACAAAATTATAGCTATTTTATAATTAAATTATTTTTCACAAATACACTACATGTATTCTAATTATTTTTCCCATTATCTTATTTTCTCATTGCACAGCTCCTGTCTTCCTCTGTTGCTCTGCTTCCAGTGCAGCTTGTTTTAAGTAGAGCTTTTATCCAATCAGATCTCACCTCTGAGTCTCTAGGTAAGATGAGAGGCCCGAGGCCCTCTAGGTAGCCTTTGCAGATTAAAGTAAATGGAGCCGATATTGTTGATTGGCATAGTCATCAAGCAATCAGATTTGACATGTTGGGCGTATTCTTTGACGTGCCAGAGCTACCGAGGTAGTCTACAAGTACGTCAGCATTAACGTGCGGCTGGCTCACCAACAACGTGCGACGTGATTGGCCAGTGGGCTAGCGTGACTGTTGTGACGCTGAAGCTAGCTAGCAGAAGTTAGTATTAGTAGTAACAGTTCAAGTTGAAAGATATGTAAGACTTTATGACATTGACATGACATTTTTAGCGTTTTGCTTGGTGTAGATTCTTTTTTTTTTAACCTAGCTTTTTTTTTTAACACTCAATGGCTGAAAGAGGATAAATGCCTTTCTGGAGAAGGACATTTCAGGAAAAAATGGACATCGTAAGAAAGGGTCGGCCAACCCCACCGCTAGCAGCCCTGACCCAGCCAGGAAAAGGATTTGTACGAACGGTATTCCTGGCTGACAGCGTCGAAGAAGCGTTGCACATGTTATGTGGAAGTGTCTCAAACTTGCATACTTTCTAACAGCCATCAAGGGGCAACTCCTTTGGTTGCAAAAATAAGTCTGATTGTATAGAAGTCAATGAGAAAACAACCCTACTTCTCACTTGATTTATTACCTCAGTAAACATTGTAAACATGAGTTTATGGTCTCCTTCACTAGTTTCTTTAATTGCAAGTCTTCTTTAGTCGTTGTGATTGACAGGTTGCTACCACGTCGTTGTATGGTCTGGGAGTTGTCAATGTTTTCCTCTTAAAACGTTAACTGTTTCACGGAGTGTTTCCAGTTCATGAAAGTTAATTGTAACAATTTTGGTTTCCCAAATATATCTACTTCAGCGGTCGGTTGTACTTCACCCTCTCGAGTCACTTCTGGTTGCAAAAAAAACAAGATGGCGACTGCCAAAATCCAAGATGGACCATAGTCCACAAACCAATGCATGAGGTCACAGTGACTACTTCTTACATACGGTCTATGGCTACAATTTGAGAATCTAGTTATAAAGAATAAACTCAAATGCACGTGTCAAACCAAATGGAGCTGGATTGAAATGGTGCAATTTTTATATAGATTCACAGTGTCATCTGAGGAGTCACTCAGAGAATGTTTGCTTCGCAGGTGAATGCATTTTTCTTCACTCCGGCTAAGTAATTAAAGGACTCCTTTCCCATCCAAAGCTTGCTTTGAAGCTAAATAAGATATATATATATATATATACACAATCTTGCGAATGGTGTTGATTAATACTGTATATGCAGCCTGTCAACATTGCTGAGCATATAACTGTGGAGATGTAACCTTTTGTTTGTCCCCCCCTAGGCATTGCACTAATTCTGCAGTGTGCACTGTACCACATGTTTGCTCAATCCGTCATTAGTCAGATGCAGCACGGTGATGCACATCTCAGCTTGACCACCTCGTGTGCATCTCAGCTGTGCGATTACACGCAGGCTTCCTCTGAGCTGAGCGCGACGCAGGCAGCATGTGGGCGTTGGCTTTGTGAGACACAGACACTAATGAGAGCTGACAAGCACCGCGAGCCTGTGGGGAGCGCAGTAAGCACCGGGGCAGGGAACCATAAGCTACATTCAAGTTTGCACTGTTCCCTACTCAGACATCCACCTTGAAGACCTCGCTCCTCCTCGCTTTGTTGGCCACAAAAGGCTCAGGGCAGCTTAAGGGGAGATTTAAAGGGGGATAGCGTGGAGAAAACATAACTAATCCTTAAACTGAGAAGAGTAATCTGTGAGGGAAGATTTACAGCAAAGAAAATTACTTTCACGATGCACTCGCTAAAAAAAAGTGACCTTTCTGTTTGGAGCCTCTGCAGCATCGAGGCGGTTTCTGAGCCGCAGATAATCGGGAGTCGAGACGTTCCGCGGTGCGACAGTGAGAAGAAACACTGTTGCTGTCCGCTGCATGTGAAAGAAAGTGAAGTGTCGCATCCCCAGAAGCGCTTGGATTAAAAAGACGCCGTATGACCACAGCCGGGCTCATGGAAAACAATGTGAAGTGTTCGAGCTGATCCTCTGTGCTCTCATTGATTTCTGTTGATCACAATCTTATTTGGCAATTTAAATGCTAATGATACTTTTAATTGCAAGACGGGATAAATGTGATTTGATCTTTAGGAGGCAATTACTTTCATGCTTTGTCTCGCTCCGATCTTCTCAAAAGGCGGACAACAATTACCCCGCCGAACTCGGCTTTTTCCTTTTTTTCCTTTTCTCACAAGAGAAGAAAGAATGAAACAAAATGACTTCTGTTTTCGTTCTTTGACAAGTTTATCAAAAATGATTTCTGTTGCTGGAGGAAGGGGTTTTGTTTTTTTAGAACATTTAACTTTACAATCACACACACACACACACACGGCCAGTTTCCAAACCTTTCCCAACACCTCAGGCATCGATGCTAGATTACATACACTGCTATACAAAAGCACATGAAAATCAAGGGGATTGTTCTAGACAGTTGCACTGCATGTATAACATTCTGTACAGACAAAAAAACCAAGCTCTATTTTTACTCACAAACAACAGTGAATGATTCAAATTCACACCCGGTACATCACGTCCACGGTGAGTGACTCACAAAGACAAGAAAGACAATCCTACTTTGGTTACAGCTTAAAGCTAGAAGGTGTCCAACAATGAGTTACCATTTATCACATTTTAAAAAGGTCTCCACACACAGCAATGGTGACCGGTTTATAAATCAAAGGGTACACAAGTAGAAGTAATACCGCTACCAATCGCTTCACCCAGTGTCGTCAAATTGAGCTAATAATCTATTTGTATGACTTCAACGATCCCATGTCTTCACTTCGACTTCACTGGAGAGTCTATCAGTAATGTCAAGTGTCCAAAAATCACAATGGCGCTACATTTCAGTCCTTGGGAGACCATTTCCAGCCCCCGAAGGTGGAAGAATTTGCACCTACGTTGAGAAAACAGAGTTGATGTTGTTTGGTGACAATGATGGCCCGCTCATTAATGCATCGCCACCTTTTAACATTCTGCATGTGATTCTTTTCAGTTATTGTAGTAAATGTGGGCCGGGGAGGTTGGTATCCAACTGATTCATGCTGGCGATGAATTTGCAACTGTGCCAACACCAGCTGCACGTCAGGAAACACTCGTGAGTGAATTCATTTTTGCCAGGGGGGGGTACGGGGGACGCGCGCCACGATTGGCAGCGCTTTTCCGGCATTTTGGAGGTCATACATCACGCTCGGGCAAAAGACAGAGCGATGAACATATTATTCCGAGAACATCGCTTTTGACAATGCCCCATCTATTTTGATAATCAGCCGACTATTGTGCCAGTGCAGCCTCTGAAGGGTCGGTGATTTATTAGGATTGACCAATTTCGAGTCACATCATGTGCTGCTTTGCGAGGGCAAACAGAGGCGTGACTGGCAGTGCAGTCAGGCATGTTATCAAATGGCCAGGCTTGATTAACGGGCTCATCAACATGCAGAATTAAACAGTCTAGCTAAATGCTTCCCCTTTTACCCTGACACTCTTATAAATCTATGAATCCCTCGCAGTGGTGCTCCACGTTTAAACAACACCCCCACACATTCGCCCGCAACTTATCTGCATTGGCATAATCACACATTTAAAGATTACAGTTTCTCCAGAAGACACTGAACATGTTTTGACGACATGCCACAAGAAGATGGACACAGATATTCATCTGGAGCTTTAAATCACATCTCGCTACATGCCGAGCTACGAGTATATGGGGGGGGCAAATGACAACAGTTACACAGCACTGACACGATTAGAACTCTTGTCATGCGTAGTTGACGACAATCATGCACACAAAAGGGAGGGGGGAGAGAGGGAGGAGGAGGGAGGTCGCACAATGTGGTCTGCTGACATTATCAGTGAGTTTCAGCTTATGTGAAACAAAGACACAATGAGCTTACAGATTTCCCTCTGAATGGCAATTTGATATGTACTCTTTCTTCAATCTCAAAAGTCAAAAAAAGGGTTCTGTTCTGTCCACTCTCCACCCGATCTGATAACGTCTGAGTGGAGCTGGATGTTTGATCGGAAGACGTAATTGAGTTGGATTCATCTTGGCACTGTTTTCATGGAGTTTAATTCTCACTCATACTTGTTTATTGAGCTAGATTTGTTTGTTGGTCACGCACCAAATGGAGACGTTTGAATTTCACTTCAATTGTCTCCATTTGTCCGGCGTTGTCAAAAGAAACGTGGACATTTCTTTTCAGGCGTCAAGTTCGGTGCAAATGTCTGGCGAGTGAATCGTGTCGATGGACCGCTCTCAGCGCTCACAGCGGTGTGCTCAAGTAAGTCACTTGCAGGCCACCATTGCATGCGGGCAACAGAATAGAGGATCCGGGAGGACAGGGTTCAGCGGGGGACAGACTGGGGTCAGGTGCCTCTACTTTCCTTGTGGGGGACTCTGGCTTCTCTGGAGCCTGTGTCACACAACTATCAGCCACAGCAGCAACAGCAATGCTGAGGGAGGGGAGTGGGAAACAGAGAGCAGTTAAACTTTAGCATCAAGAATGAGAGAGAAAGATAGATTAGCAGGGAGGGAGGAGGAGACAGAAAGCAATGGGAGAGGTAAGAGTCTGTGTGCTTTATTTGTCTTGAAAAGCATCGGTGAGAGGCAGAGGCGGCGCGGGGTCCCCGGCTGTGCTCTGCTGCCGAGACGGGCGGCGGGAGGAGTTCGCTGGGGCCAAAAAAACCTGCAGCGCTCCTGCTTTGAATATCAAATCAATTACGAGATTCTGGAGGGAGAGGGCGCTCTAAAATAAACACTATAATCTCATCATGTGAGTTGATTGAAGGTTCATGTGCACCCTCAGCCAGATTCTGCACACCCCCGACCTCAGTTGTTTTGGTAATATTCCCAGGGAGGAACATAGCCAGCCCCTGCACACAACAACCTCCTCATTCCCATGAGGATGTGGTTTGCATCTTGCATACCCAGTATTGCCAATGGCATCCTGGAAGCCGTGGCAACCAGGTGTTTAAGATAAAGCCAAATTAGCAATTCCTCCTTTGTTGAAAACAGAGTTCTTACAATTCTTCCCCAACAGATGGCAGAGACTTATATCACCTTTGGAAGAACACATTAAGATATTTTGGATTCACAAAGCTCTGTTGCTTGTTGTTGTCCCCCCCCTCCCCTCCTACACACTGTGTACGGGCAGCAGCTGGCAATGTTCAAAATTGTCACGGCCCCTGGTCTGCAGGCAGAACAAAATGACCTGGTTGGCTGGAGGAGGGGCGGCAGGAGTAACTACAGCAGGACAGATACAGGGTCCTTAAATCTATCTCCAACAGCATCTCCGAGTGGCTTAATTGATGCAATGGAAGAACTTCTATTCATTCTAAATTAAATTTACATGACATTGCCTTTGCAAGGTTCAGACTATAAAATACCTCAGATTTGATATAACTAAATCAATATGGGAATCAAGATTTGTTATTCCTGCATGCTGAACTGCAAGAGATTTTAGGCCTGCATGTCTCCAAACGCTTATCATCAAATCTTCGATCCGCCAGTAACAGTTCCTAATAAAAGCAATTTGCATAATTCCACAATTGTTTCCCCGAACAGCATTTAGAGACAGCACGACCCTATGGACCTACTGCGTGCTCGAGAATCTCCCGGAAAATCTCACTTCACTTCCTGATGATATCGGAAACAAACAAATCCGACAGAGGTGAAGCTTTCCTTAAGGAGAGACAGCATCAAATGCTCCTGCAATCAGTCCTGATTAAAACAATGGTGTTTTAATGGGAAATGGGCTTCACTTCAGCCCACATTGCAATCAAGCAACTACTTAATAAGTGCCGCTTCAGTAACAATCATCGAATGTATCTCCGCAATAGTAAACAAAAATGAACTTGCTTTTTAAAGTCAGTTAGTCATAAAGTGAGCTGCAGTATGGGGAAGGAGATTTTCGACGTGTTTGGAGTTCTGTCTCTGAACTCTCCGGGAAAAAAAGGTGTTTTGTCTTTTTCAAAGTGTTTTCTCTCTTGTGAGCCGACCGTATAGTGCACACCTAATCTTACCACCTGTCCAGCTCCCTGCAATACTCTCTGGCAGGGGCTCGGTACTCACAGGTCATTATCTGTCTCAGTGCGGGTCTTCTGCTGCCGCCGATGGACCATGAAAACAGTAACAGCCACGCCGACGATGAGTCCGATGGCAACGACACCTCCAAGGATCCCGATAACGCCACCCGGGGGACCCTGCGCCATTGGCTTCTCTGCAGACAGGAGGAGAAATAACAGTGTCAAGACAGGTGCTCCCTGGGTAATTGATGCTGCTGGGTTGAACTTCGGTAAGAAAAAAAGAGAAAAAAAAAAAGCAGTGAGCACAAAGAAACACAAATCTTACATCTCCATGACACGTCTATGGCAAGAAAAGGCCTTGCAATAAATCACAAAGAATTCTGGACATACTTTCAGCAATTGGTAAAAAAAACAACATTAAACATGAAATCAAAGACATTGCCATTCGACACGGTATTTGTCAGGCTTGAGGCTTTCTGTCATAAAACACACTATTTTGGGAGACATAGTTGAGGATGAGGCCATTGTCCAGCTCACCCTGGCACTGCATGAATACCACACAGTTGTGGTCACTAGGCATCTGCGGCTGCATTTCTAATGTGCACTCTGTCAAATGTTCAGAAGGAGCCCAAATTGGCTTGGATTTGACAGCGAACCCGAATGCACTCTTAAGAGCACGGAGAAGCTATTATATTTTAAAAGTCCTTGCCAGCAGGGGGTAATGAATGCAAAATACATTTCAAGCATTGCAGAGAAAGACAGACTGTGTGCGGTTTGCAAAGTAAAAACAATTTACCTAATTCTGTTGAGAGCAAAACATGGGACAGTTAGTCTACAACTGTCAGCTGGAATGACAAGTCGGCAAGACCCAGTGAACATTTCAGATTGTTGATGTTGCCCTCTCTGCTCCGCGCTCAATATTCCAGTCAGCACTCTGTTGATAAAGCCAAGGCTATTAACTTTAAAATAGAAAAAGGCACAGTAAATAGCAGTGGAAAGATAAAATTCAAGACTTTGTTGTAAGCCATTTCTTTTAAGAGCTGCACCGGGCTGTGATCATCTGCGGCCAGCGTATAATTGTCTCGGCTCGATACATTGCGAGAAATGGGCATGCTTTGAAATCGCTGCAACGTCTTCGCTTAAGGGCCTGCTGGTTTTACACTTTTACATTTGATATCGACAAGGAATCGTCCTGTACCAGATCAGAATACATCAAACTGTAATTCGTCTGTTTTCACGTAGATGAAAAGATGAATTACCGCAGGTCCCATGTGAACCTCTTCTACCGTGTCCCAACTGATGTCAGGTATTACTGAAATAGGACAGTCGTCTCCTTTCATAATGGAGCTTTTTTCTTTGTCTTGTTCTAAAGGCAAACAGCCCTGGCATCTGTTTTCGTCGACAGTTCGAGCTGTCCTTTTTAAGACAGGCCAGGTACCAATCAATGGCTGTGAGCCCGTTGTGACGGGACGCTGCAGATTCTCCCCGTCTCCCACTTTGAAAAGGGAAGGCTATCTCTCGCCCTCATGATGTCTCCATTATTATCTGGCCGTCCCTCCAGGTAGTGACTGGACAAGGCCCCGCTCCCCAGGGGCCTCTTCTCAACAGCCCCTTCCTGCTCGCTTGATTCACTGCCCGTAATGACGGATACACAGAGGACTACTTCACACGCGGCCACACAATGGCAGGCGCACCTTGTACCCGACACCGGCTGCCTCAAAGTAAGCGTCCTCATATCGTGTCCATCAGGTTGTCATGTCTCGCTGAAGTTCCTGCTGTCGCTTAGATTTTTCCGTTGTCTGGTCTAGGTCACTTCGTGTCAAATCCACACGGCAAATTAAGGTAAATTGGTTTTCCTCGAAACCCACATGCACTTCTTTCTTGTGATGCATTTAAATACAAAACACAGGCTGCGGAGCAGCTTTGAAGAGCGGGCGTGAGTATGATCTTGCCGTAGCATGGCAACAGATAAGCCGGAACTCCTACTGTTGTCTCATCGCGCCACATAGTGAAAGCCAGTGGGCTGAATTTCATGGCCCTAATGCAAATGCCAGACACAATAGTCTGTTGTATAACACTAACACGCAGAGGAGTGGACTGGATCAGAATGCAATTTCCCTGTTGTGGAGCCTTAGGCACTCTGCACACACAGGATTTAGACTGTCACCTCCTTCATAAAGGTAGGGTGAGCCATCTGGCTCGCGGTCTGAGTGCTTTGTGTGATTCTTATACAGCTGCAGAATCATCATCAAAAATTAAAGCCTTTCATTTTTTTAGCACACCAGTTTTACATTAAAGCATCCCAATCGCAAGCAACATTCGCACGTGTGCATTGTTTTGGCAAAACGTTTCAGCAAAATGTTACAGCCGCTAGTGTAAAAAGTGCACAGATTATGCAGAAGGCAAACCAGAGCCGTAAACGGACCCTTGTCTCTATGTCACTCCTCCACAGTCCAAACATAGGCACTTCCGCTCAATGGTTGAAAAAAACAACAAGATGGCAACGGCAAAAATCAAATATGGCGGAGGCTGAAACGCCGAACTACGTGCTTCAAACCACAGTCCACAAACCAATGGGTGACGCCACGACGACTACGTCCTTATACAGTCTGTGAGTCAAACCCATCTGCAGTATGTCCAGCGAACAACACACAGTCAAAATCAATTAGTCCAAGTAGGATAGTGCAACTGTACCAGCTAACTGGATCCTCAATGACTTTTCAAGGACATGACTTGCTGAGAATTTGGAAACTTGCTGGATGACTACAAAGTCCAACTCTATTAAATAAAAATATTCCGGTTCTTAACATCACATCTTAACCCCGAGTTATTTTTTTAAATAAACATTAAAAAAAAAACCAGTTCTTTAGAGTAAACCTGGGTTCCTGCCAAAGCCACTCAAGGACAGGAGCAATAAAAAAATGTGAAGACAAGAGTGAGAATTTGGAGTTCAGCTGTCCAGGTGCAACAAGAGTAAAAAGAAAAAATAAGCGATCTGGAGAACAAGACAGTTGAATGAGTCACTGACAAATACTCGTGATTAGAGCCACAGCCTCTGCACTGTGGCTCTAATCGTTCGCAGAGACTCAGCATTCACTTAGTATTCGCTGATGCCTGATGACTTCGTCCCGTAAAAGCTACCGTTTGGAAATCCGCCCTCGTTGCACACAGCAGGCGGTGCTGCATAAAGAGGGCTTTCCTTTGTCCTTGTTGTAGAATAAACAGTGGATTGGCAACAGCAATGGGCATGGGGACTGAGATACTGTACATGCCATGTCTCTGCCTCCTGCTTTCACAACCTCCACCAGTGCCAGTACCCACACCATCATTATCAACACCTTCAAGCAGGAACACAGAGGAAAAATGAACACTGTGCTGTTTGCAGGTCGGAGGAAGATTAAGTCTCTCAACTCACTGCTAGGTGCAAAACATGTCTTTTTAAAACCATAAACCACAATTTCCATATCATGAAACACCTCGGCTATCTGTAGTAATTTGATCTTCTTTCTGAGCACATACCTGCACCTTACTGTTGTACTGCTCAACCTGCTACCAGTTTGGGTAGCTATGGTTGCCCTATTTTAGCGTGTTGTCATGCTTCTTTCATGTTAAGTAATCTTCTCAGAAAGATGGTGAAAGAATAACTCACACAGGGAGCAAAAAAATGCGTCCTCTCAAATGAATTCTGTCGGATATAATCCATATCATTCATGGTGAGAGCAGTTATATTAAATTCTAGAATAATGATGAATAACAGCAGCAACCAAGGACTTTTATACCATGCATTAATCCAGAATTATATCAATTTAAAATGATCTTTAAAACCAGTTGGGCTTTGCCTTTAACTCTAAAAACAATAAACCACAAATGTTAAATGAAATACCAGATGTGCAGTGATTTCACATGTGGTAAAGCTGAATGTTGGATGGAGTTGGCTCTGCTCTTTTCCAGGAAAAATCTCCTGTTCCACCACGAACAAAGAAGGGCACTCTGAGAGGGCAGATCTCCGCCTAGGCCAATACATTCCAAAATGTAACGGGTTCTTCCTTGGCCCATGCTACACCATTCAACCAAGTTTTATGAAAATGAGACCAGCGGTTTTTCGGCAATCCTGCTGACAGACAGACACAATCAAACCAACAAACCGGACCAAAAACATTGCACCAGAGGCCAACGCAACGATGCTTTTTTCTGTTGGCGAAAGCAGCAACTGCAGTTTATTTTTAATATTAACTGTATTGTGGACATTTTCTGTGCTTGTACTTTGCTGTAGTGTTTCAGTTTCATACTTACTTCTACAACACTACATTCCAGAGAGAATAATGCAAAACGTTTGATTTTGATGTTTTGGAACATGTTGCTGTTAATAGGCTACTACCACAAGGGGGCACGGAAACAAGAAAACAACCTGATGACAAACATCCCTCAAAAAAATCCTTCAAAAGTAAAGAGAGCATTGTCGCAAAACATGAGCTCTTATCATAAAGACGTCACCCAAACCAAAACAACTTAGAGAAAACCTGTAATGTATAAAACCCTTTTCACCTTGTGATTTTTCACCAGTGGAAAACCGGCATGAAATCGGACCAAACTCTATTGAGTAAAGGCTGTTGTTCAAATATGTCTTGTGGCCGCCACTGAAAGATTGCTATTGATTTTCAATAAGTGTAATGCACCCATCCATGCGGCGGCTCCCTCTGTGCCGTCGCTCCACCGCCGTGGCACATTTGAGCCGACTGGACTTGACCTTGGTGCTTCTGTGGCTGCAGGTCCCTCTGAGGTGGCGGCAATCTTCAGTCTTGTCACACACCCCCCCCGAGATCACTGAACTGCACCAGATGTATGAGCTTTTGTTTTTCTCTGCTGCACATCCAAACACAGAGTACAGGCCTGCACACAGTCCTCCGTCGGCTTTGATGGGCTTTGTGGCATTACGTTTATGTCAGCTGGTAGCCGGAAGAGCATCATATTTCCCTGGCAATCCATCAAGAAGGGCATCATTGGCTGAGTGTAACTTCTACCCAGCAGGTTCTTCTGTTTGCCGCAGAGTTCAGACGTTCAGCCTGCCCGAGGTCTCGTGGGATTCGGGGGACATGGTGAATAAGTGCTTTGCATGTGATTATTACATATTCGTCCCTCAGGCAGAGCCTGCAGATTTCTATGCATGCTCCCAACAGGGGGGTGGTAG